AAAAAAAAAAAATTTTTTTCTGTTTTTTTTTTTTCTTTTTTTAAGAGATTCCGAAACCCCCCCCCCCCCCCAATAACCCTGTCACCCCACCCCCCTAAAAAAAAACCAAAAAACCCTTCGTAAAAGACTTCAGGTATGCTCGTACTTTGCGAGTGCATCCAGGGCAATAACTATGTGATGTAATTGAATGCCATTCTATTACATTGACCTAGAAACAAATCGCTGGGCTGCATTAACCAACGTCTTCTGCTCGGTGGACTGTAACGAACTAACTAACAAACCTAAAAGGAGCTCTGCAGCCGCCCTCAGAGTTTCGGAGAAATGATTATTCTTGCAAAGTCATGAACAAACTGTAACCCAACCCGTTTGCCTAAATCTTTACTGATGGGAAACAACAGACAGAGGTCAGGGTACTCTCTCTCTCTCTCTCTCTCTCTCTCTCTCTCTCTGTTTAAACTTAAAACTAGCTAATAAAGTAAAGTGTTCAGAGTATAGTTAAAACATAAGTACACAAGCAGCACCGTCCGCACCACCCCCTCTCTTATAACGAGTAGCGTAATGGGGGAGGGGGGGTGCGGATGATGTGGTCCACCCTGGGGCGGCACCTTTTTCTTCATATGTTGGGGAGACATTTTCTGCCAATTGCGGATTTTTTTTTCTTCCGTGGAAGTGTGTGGAAAATTCTCTACCCCCCCCCCCCCCCCCCCCCCCCCCCCCCCCAGATACGACAGCCAACACCAACTGTTAATTTTACAATTTGTCTTTTGATTTATTTAGACAAAATTATGTAATACTAAATACGCCTGGTGGATTGATAAAAGTGGACGGACGGATCAGAGATATTGAAGCTATAAAAAACAATATACTAATTTAGAATGTTTCTATAAATAAATGAAAATAAAGCAAATTATATTTCCCTGGTTAGATTTAAACAGTTCAAGTTGAAATTGTCAATTTTAATCTTAATCTGAAGTTTTAATATGTTTTCTACAATTTCTTCCAACACGAGATTTTGTTTTGTTTTGTTTCTATTTAAATTAAAATTTATACAAATCAAGCAGTACATATCAATCGCAAAATATCTCGAAGGAAAACAATATTTGAAGCTTAAAAATTAGTCGTTTGAATTAGCTTTTATGATCATAATACTGATACTATTGATTACATAGGACCGATATTCATTGAAATGCACATACATGTTTGGGCAAATAAAGAAGAGATTTCAATGCGAATGAAATAAAGAAGAGATGTCAATGCGAATGAGTTCCATGAACTAATACTAAAGTTTGAGAATGTCGTATATTATCGGTGGCCTGTTTTCAATCACACAGTGTATGTTGTTGACATTTCAATCTTTTTACTCAATCAAAAACTATCACTAGAGTTCAAGAGTCAAACAGTCTATTACCTTAACTTAAACCTAACTTACTAGAGTTAATGACTTAAATGAGTTAATTAAGTAACCCCAAGCCTACACCTACGTCAATAGTATTTAAGCAGGCTACTACAATACTCATCTCTATCAGATAATATCCATCACCATAATTTAAAAAAAAAAAAGATTTTTGGTAATCTACCACTTCTGCGTCAATAGTTCTGTACTTGTATGAAATGCTAATTAAATGGTTATTCTTTTATTTATTGATATATATTAATAGTACAGTGAAGAGAGGGTGACTGGGGTTTTGATAAGTAGGCATATGGGCTGTTTAATGTTTTCTCATTGAAGTAGCAGATAACATTACAGGAGAGTATAATTCTGAGAGAAATATCTTTACAGACTCACATATTTTATCAGGCGGATGGGCACTTTATGCAAACATAAACCAGTTAAGACAATGAGTCTATGAAACTCGATTGTGATCAATCAACAAACTGACGTTTGAGTCCACATACAGAATGTTGAAAATATGTGTATGCGCACAGAGGATAAACTGAAAAGACAGTTTGGCACAAGCCTCAATCTTTTCCCTTCATATTTGCATGAGTTTATGGTCATTGATGGATGGATGGCTTACTCATTTTTTACCTATTATATAAGTCATTAATGATTATCCTGAGTGCCACATAATTTCTTTAAGCCAGCAGGCACCGACAATCCAAAAAAATGTCTGTCTCAAGAGGGTTTATAACTTTTCATAGAATGGCCCAGACCAAAATCATTAATGCCAGTAGTAATACTAGTAACAGGTCTAATAAATACAAAATATTTTAGACCAGTCAATATTTTAGATATTATTTGATGAGCTATAACTTTGTAATAAATAAAAAAACAAACACATTTAGCTGTGACTTTATGCTAATATAAAACCTAAATGAAACAACTTAGTTTCCTAACATGCTAACGTTGATATGTCAGAGGTAAAGATAGCAAATGTTTTAAATCACCCATAATATTAACATTTTCCCTTTTCTTCTCCAGATCTTCTGCTTGCCTTTATAAGTTTAAACAGTGGTGAAAAACAAGACTCTTTAAATGGTGAGGAATTCGTTTTAGCTCTTCATTAGAAAAATAGTATTGTTGCACATAGTTCAGTAAAAGTTTTGAATTTTTGTTCACCCTTCATTATTATATAATCTTACACGTGCGAGTAAACAAAAAACAAAAAAAGAAGAAAACTGAAACCATCATTTATTTATTTAAACTTTTGTCATTTTTACAGAAGTGCAAGCAAACCAAATAGTGTTTATTTTACTGTCACAGTCAAATGAGTTTCATGCAAGGCAAGCGGAGGACTTTGAGAAACATGTCACTGATCAGGTTTCCCACTTAAGTGAGGTAGTGCATACAAAAGTGTTACAGTGTCACTCATCAACCTTGTCATTTGTTCACTCTTTCTGACATGCCCTCCTAAATCAATCAAAGATACACATTTTAGCTTCATTCAGATATGTTTACTTAAGAGATAAATTTTGAGTGGTGTTGGATACAGTATTGTTTTTTTGCATATCTTTGTTTGATTTCCGATGGATTAGTTATTGTAAATAAAATTTACTGAACTATTTCCCTCCTAGATCCAGCGGCCTCAGCTCTTCTTTACCCACAGGCATTTTGTTGATGTCCGAGGTAGCTGGACGATATTTCCCTTAATTGAACAGTGAGTTACGGCCTTTGATTGAACATTTAGTTGAAATTCCATTTGCTAGCTTTTGAATTTAAAAAAATAAATATTTTTAATAAAAATCTAATTGAGCTTGTTGTACATTTTTAAAAATACAAAATCAGATTTCATTTGATCTTGTCATTGTTTCAGTTTAATAGATTTATTGAAAAAGAAGGATTTTTCATGGGTTTTCATATGTGAAGAGGATACCAGAGTGAATGTGCAAGGACTTGTCACACTTCTAAAATCATACAATGCTTCTCAAGTAAGGAAGTTTTTAATATTTTGTACTAATTTAATAAAGTCTGCTATCACTGTAATGATAGTAGTGTGTGCAGAAAAAATAGTGGAGCCGAAAATAAATAAAAAAAAAAAAAGAAAAAAAAAAAAATATCCTTTGAAATTGAAAATATTAATAAAATAAAAAATAAAATCATACAATGCTTCTCAAGTAAGGAAGTTTTTAATATTTTGTACTAATTTAATAAAGTCTGCTATCACTGTAATGATAGTAGTGTGTGCAAAAAAAATAGTGGAGCCGAAAAAAAATAAAAAAAAAAAAAGAAAAAAAAAAGAATATCCTTTGAAATTGGAAATATTATTGAAATATAAAATTATTCGATGTTTTACTGAACTGATTGGCTAAAATAATGTTTAAGCTGTTTTAACATTAATGCAGTCTAGTAATTAATTTATGACTTGTTATATCAGATACATGCCTTGGAGGTATAGGCTATATTTATTGTTACATCTGATAAATGCATTGGAGGTATAGGTTATATTTAGTGTAATATTTGATACTTGCATTTAAGGTATAGGCTATATTTATTGTAATATCTGATACATGCCTTAAAGGTATAGGATATGCTTATTGTAAAATCTGATTCATGCATTGGAGGTATTGGTTATATTTATTTTAATAACTTGTACATGCCTTGGAGGTATTGGTTATATTTAATACATAATGGCAATAATAAATTTAAAAGGAAATAGAATTAACATGGAAAACATTAAGATAATGAAATGTAAAGGATGAACTGAATGTCTTATACTTGAATGAACACATGGAACATAATGTTATTGAGTCCAACATTCAGGGCAATTACTTAACAATCTTGTTCTGTTGGCTTAGCACTATTTCCTGGGGAGAGAACTCCGTGACAAGCAAACAACCATCATTCACCATTTTGCTTTTGCTGATGATCCATCTCAGTTCACGTATCCTGACTTCCGAGCTGGCCTTGTGTTGAGCATCACATTAATTAAACAGTGAGTGCACATGTCAAATTATTAAAGACTCACACACAGTTCAAAGCTGTTGGTATAGAACATCTAGGGGGCGATGTCATCACCTATCTTACCATTTTTAGCAAAACTTGTGCTGGGATTAACCATTCATTGATACTGAGTGAGATAGGCTTGACGTCAATTGAAATAAGGTTATCGGTACATATATTATATTTTATTTTCTGATATGATTAAACAAAATTGAGAAAGATTTAAACAAATTTTACTTATTATAAAATATATTTTTAGTTAATTAAAATTTTTAATTATTATAAATTATTTTTTAGCTATACATTTTTTATTTATTATACAATTTTTTAATTTATGATTTATTAAAACAAATTTTATTTGTTATAAAATATACTTTACTTATAAATTTTATTTATTATAACAAATTTTTTAGTTATAACAATTTTTATTCATTATCAAATATTTTTTAATGATATCTAATTTTATTCATTATAAAACCTTAATTAGTTCTAACAAATTTTATTTATTACATAACATTTTTTAGCTATAACAAATTTTATCTATACAAATTTTTATTTATTACAAAACAATTTTAGTTATAACACATTTTATTTATTTTCCAAAATATTTTTTTAATTATAACTAATTTTATTCAATATAAAATATTTTTTGTCTCCCAGCTTGCATAAAAGACTTCAAAGTGGAAGCTTGAAATTAGATTTTTCCATTGATCCCAAACACGAGTTTGCACTGTTTGTTTGGGAGCAAGGCCTCGGGACGTCATTGCTTCACGTTGAGCAGTTCTGCTCGGCTGATGACAGTTTGAGACCACAGTGCATCACACGGCAACCCCAAAAGTTCCCTGAATGTGGGGAACCTGTAAGGAAACAAGACTTGTTTGTAGCTGTGAAGACCTGTAAACAGTATCATGAGACCAGAGGTAGACAAGTGGTGTCAAGCCAATAGGATGGTCTCTACTATGTTATAATTATTTAATACTATCCATATCTTCTTAACTTATCATTTTCCACCAATGATAAAAATTTGTTTACTGAATTCAAAAATTTATAAATAAAAAAATAATTACATTTGTTAAAATTAGGATATGATTAAGAAATTGAACTATGCATTCTCATCAAGAGTTATTAATTCTAAGCTATTTTATCTAACACAGTGTTCTAGAAAGTGTTCATTCTAATTAAAACTTTGAAGTTATTATCAAGAAAACGTAAAGCATCAACCTGAACTCAGCTTAAATAAAATAAAATGTCTGTTTTTTGTTTTTTTTCCTTCCATGTTTTAAAAAAATAAATATTTTTAGATAAAGAGCTCTAAGGGAAAGTTAGGTTAAGTTCAAGAGACCTCCATCGGCAGTAGCCCTATGAGAATGGAGCATGAAGAGAACTGTAACTTGTGATTCTATCTGTTCCAGTGCCAGTGGTGAAAGCAACGTGGGGGAAAGAAACAGACCTTATTGAGTACTTCAGTGAAGTGAGTGATGTCAGTATCCCAACAACTGATCTTGGTGTGCCCAATACAGACAGAGGTACATTGGATTTTATATATATATATTTATATATATATATAGATATATAGTTGTTTTTTGTTACTTCTGTAGACAGGTACACATTGACATTGTTGATTTTATTATCTCAAATGTAGATTATTTATTCTGGTCAGTGACCCTGCGATCAATTCATGAAAAAAAGTAATTTCCCTTTGGCTTTGGAATAATAACCCATTAATGCACAGAAGATACATTGGGGAGTCATTGTCTGTGCGAGTTGTAGGAAGACAAGTTCAAGGTCATTAAAATAAAAAGGAAGTCATCTCACAGACCTCACAGGCTGTCCTCACTGCATTGGTCTGATGAATATCACACGGAGCGTGTCTAATGTCTAGGATGATCTTTGCTTTTTTTGGATCCAAGAATTATTTACTTAAGATGACCTGTTGGTGTGAAATTGTTACTTGCTGGTGTGAGAGTGCTTTCCCATTCTGCTTAGCTGTCAAAAACTTTATAACTGTTACCTTCCACAGTATGACGATTATCTGCTAGACTGACTCTACCATATATTATTATTTAATTGATCATAAAAAAATACAACAATAAATCCTATCCATCCTTTTGTTTTTATTTTTTAATTTATAAAATTATTAAACAACCCAGTATAAATCCTTTATTAAATGTAATATCATGCAATGTGGGGGGGGGATGCTTAAAATTTGACAGAACATGCAAACAAGTAATGCACTTTATAAGAAACCAAAATAAGGTGTCCCCCCCCCCCCCCCCCCTTCAAGGTTTGCAACTGCACATTTTTTCACTCCACTGAACGATATTAATATTCAAATTACAAAGCGGCTTTTACACCACAGATTTATTTCACTAAATATTTCAGAAAGACAAAAGAAAAAATACGCACCAAACACACTTCCGATATTTTAAAAAAAATAAAAATTTTTATTTAGCGGAGTTATCGGGAATTTTATTTCGTGAAATCAGTGGCATCGTATTTCCTTCATTTTCCCCTTGAAAAACATAACATACCGATTTTTGAGGTTGGGGGTGATACTGAAAATTTTATAGAATGTGTTGTTAAGGACAACGAGTCTTATGTGCCTAGTTTCAGCTTGATAGGTTGATGGGAACTGGGTCAATTAGGCATCTGAAGATTCTGCCAGCCACCCACAAAAGCAAGTTAATATAATTTATTTTAAAGAAAGTGTAACCATATTTGTTTAGCAATTATTTATAAGAACACATTTCCAAATACATTTTAAACTGCTACCATACTAGCAAGTTTAAAGGATGAAATGAAATAAATTGAACACTTTGATGTAGAATTTATGGAAATTAATGAAGAAAGTAATATCTTTCAGCTGAAAATATATTTAAATGAAACACTATAAATATTTTTAAAAAAATACTTAATAAAAAACACTATTTTTTTCCCAAAATGTCCTAAAAATGATAAAGTACATGTTTTGTGACACAGTTGTTATCATGCAGATTGTTTAGCCATTGATATATGAGTTCCCACAACTGCCTTGCATCACTGTTGTGTTCTCACATGGATCGTGATCTTGACCAGTGGAATGAAATTTGTGATACAGCTGTGTGCGTGTCTCTGGGATTTGCAAAGAACACTGAGTTAATTGGTGCCTGATGCTTTTTTCATTCATATGACCCTGAAGTTTTTGGGGGCAGTTATATTATAGTTTTTTAGTAAACTGTTGGAAACGCATGTTATCACGTATAGTTTTATTTTGTTTTAATTTGTACGTAGTCTTGGAAGATGTCAGTGGTGAAATTTCTGTGGTAAAAATTTTGTGGTCACTGTTGACAGTTATCGGGAACGTGTAACCATGCGTAAGGAAATGATGTAGTGAGACCCAATGTCCTTATACCTTTCCGTTCCTGAGGGTCAATGGATGTCACTTTTGACCTACTCATTATGAAGGATTGTGTTGTCATTTGGGGGGGGGGGGGGGAATAAATGTACAAATCTCAACTGGAGATCAGAAAGTGATTCAAAATTGAGCTCCAAGATTTGACCACACACAAACAATACAGCAACAAATGGACAGAGCAATGTTAGGAAAAGCGTATAATAATGCTATCTTTTCTAAAACCTATGTTTTATCTGTCACACTCCAGGCCATTCTGATAACACCATGATATTTTATCATCTGTGACACTCCAGGCCACTTTGTTAACACCCTCATATTTTATCATCTGTCACACTCCAGGGCACTTTGGTGACACCCTGATATTTTATCATCCGTCACACTCCATACCGCTGTGACAACTCCATATTTTTATCATCGCACTGTAGGTCACTGTGGTAAGACCATGGCTATCATCCAGAGAATCATCGACACCCCTGCCCTGTCCAACATTGAGTGGGTGCTCATCGCCGACGACGACACCATAATAAATCTGGACAGACTTCTGCTGCTCCTGGCCTGTTACAACCACAGACAGCCGGTGGCGCTGGGTGAGAGATACGGCTACGCAGTGGCCAGAGGTGGAGGATACGACTACATCACTGGAGGAGGGGGGTAAGTTTGGAATGTTTGATGTCGTCTTACAGATAGCGGAAGTAATTTTGAAAAGCCGTGCAAGATTCAATGCAAGATTCTAACCCAAAGTTTACTTCCAAAAATTATTGCTAAGTAGGGCTCTGCTTGCAAAAAAAAAATAAATAAAAAATTTAAAGCTAATATTTGTGTAAAAAAAACAACAAAAAACAAAAAAAAAGACAGAGGTAAAAAAAGGAAATTAAAAAATTTAATTCTAATAGGATTGTTCAATTTTTATGTTATCATAATCATTTTTCACTTCCTTAAAGTATTTATTTTGATTCTGTTTTCTAATATGATCCATTGCTAGCGATTGATAGTGTCTGAATATTTTTGTTTCTTTATTAACTCCATCAGCTTGATGTAAGTCTTGTGTTATTGAAATATAGACTAGCGGTCCCCAAATGGTGGTAAACAAGCCTTAAGTTTCCGGTCTGCACAACATGAATATTTATGGCAAATAAAAAAAATGGGAAAATAATAAATATATTTTCCTCCAGTCCCTGGTGAAATTTTGAGACATGTCCACCGGTGGGATGAACTTTTTTAAAATTTGGGAAATGTTGATGTAAACAGCTGTAACTCGGTGACCCACTGTTTATTTTGATCCATAAATGTTACTCTCCATGATAATTTACTTTGAGAAGTTTTGGGCATTGAAGCAATGAGCTGAATATCTTGTGCTCACACTGACGGCATTATTTCAGTATGGTGTTCAGCCAACCTGCTGTCAGACTGCTGTCCAATCGATGCAGGTGTTACTCGGATGACGCGCCTGATGACATGACCCTTGGGATGTGCCTCAAGTCTATTGGAGTGCCTGTCACGCACAGCCGCTTCTTTCATCAGGTAGGGTGACGTGAGGCACCTCGGGGGGGGTGGGGGGGGGGGGGGGTGGGGGGCGGTTGATGCTGGTTGGGTTTGACATTAATGATACAAACATCATTAAGTTTGTGACCTGATCTTTTTTCCATGTTAAAATTATTTTTTTGGCCAAAGCTGTTTCCTAATTGATTTATTCATCTTGTCGAATGGAAAAAGAAAGTTTTTATAAATCACTAACGGTAAATGGCTCTGACCTATAAAAATAACAATCTGAATGCATAAAAATATGCATAAGTTATACCCTTATTGTAAATAATATAAGGCTCATTCTTTGTCAAGATTTGAAGTAAAAGTGCGTTCCAAATCATTTAACTAACTTCCATCCCAGAGAGTTTCTCACCTTTACCCATTGTCTTATGTTCTGCACTTACAGGCTCGTCCTGATGATTACAGCGCAGATTTCCTTAGCAACCAGCTGCCGGTGTCTTTCCACAAGCACTGGAACAACGACCCATACAAAGTCTACGCTGACATAACGTCTGCTGGGGTTCAAACCTTGGCTGATACCCAACATGAAACAGAACACTTGAAGGAGGAACTTTGAGACCCTCACTTTTCTTTTTATTATAGGTTCACTTTTCTCATGTGATAGCAAGAGCTCAGGTGATATGTCACTTCTTTTATGTGATAGATTCACCTTTCTTTTATTATAGGTTGACTTTTCTTAAATGAGAGGTCCAAATTTTCTTATGCGACAGGCTGACTTTTCTTATGTGATAGGCTCACTTTTTTCTTATGTGATAGGCTGACTTTTCTTATGTGATAGGCTGACTTTTCTTATGTGATAGGCTCACTTTTCTTATGTGGTAGGCTCACTTTTTTCTTATGTGACAGGTTCACTCTTCTTATGTCATTTGAGAATTTATTTAATGAAAGTAAATTGTCATGCAGTATCTTCTAGCTGATAAGTAATGTATATTATTGAAAACTCTAGTCCATTTGAATGTTCTATAAATTATTATTTAGAAAAAACTGAATGCATTTTCCTGTTGCGACTGTAGGTGTAATTGTGGCTTGTTGATCACAGGCCACACTCTCCATTGTCTTCCATTTAGTTGAGGCAAAAAAAACGGGACACTTGCTGTTGGCAAGAAAAATTTTGGGATACTCACTGTTCATTATTAACTGGGACCAATCATGTTGTATTCACCCGAGTTTTATGTTGCTAACCTGTTTTTTTTAAAGATTTAACTCTTCCACTTTGTACTTGGGCTAAGCTCTTTCTTTATTTCCAGCGCCATTGAAAGGTTTAACTCTTCCACTTGGTACTTGGGCTAAGCTCTTTCTTTATTTCCAGCGCCATTGAAAGGTTTAACTCTTCCACTTGGTAATTGGTACTTGGGCTAAGCTCTTTCTTTATTTCCAGCGCCATTGAAAGGTTTAACTCTTCCACTTGGTACTTGGGCTAAGCTCTTTCTTTATTTCCAGCGCCATTGAAAGGTTTAACTCTTCCACTTGTTACTTGGGCTAAGCTCTTTCTTTATTTCCAGCGTCATTGAAAGGTTTAACTCTTCCACTTGGTACTTGGGCTAAGCTCTTTCTTTATTTCCAGCGCCATTGAAACGTTTAACTCTTCCACTTGGTACTTGGGCTAAGCTCTTTCTTTATTTCCAGCGCCATTGAAAGGTTTAACTCTTCCACTTGGTACTTGGGCTAAGCTCTTTCTTTATTTCCAGCGCCATTGAAAGGTTTACTTCTTATAACTTGAAATGAAACATCCCGGCATGGCAAAAGTTGTTTTTGATGAGATGCATTTCAAACTGTGGCTTCTTTAACATTGGTCCTTCTCTTTTTCATTAAATGCTAGTATTAATAAAACGTGGGCAGGAAATAGTTGGGTACAGAGTTAAAAAAGCAACAAAAAACATTCACGGGCACTGCAATGATTAGATTGTGCAATATTTAATCTGTAACTTTAACAGTTCAATGTGTTTCTCAAAAAAAAAAAAGTGCAAAAAAGTTTATTGGGGCTTTGGAGGAATGTGTGAAATTTCAAGGGAGAGCCCCATCAAAATGAACTAAATGGATGTTTTAATTGGCATCCTTCCGTCTCGTGAGACGATGGTGCATCACCGTTGGGTATACTCTAATCTCCACGCACCCAGTGGAGAAGGCAGGCCATGACGGGATAGCACCTATTTGACTGGGGGCTGCCCAGTTTGAGGCGGACGGTAGCTGTCCAGTGAGACATTGGTAGTCTCTCCCACCGTCGGAAGCAGCCCCTGGCGCCTAGCTCTACGTCAATTGAGCTTTTGGCTCATAACCGGTAACTGCTGCTTCCCGTGTTTTGTCAACACCTTGCGGCGACGCTGGAGTGTCCTCTCCAGAGGTGATGCAAGCCTGGGCGGGTATTATGGAGAATTAGCTGCTGCCCATACAGCATATCCACCCTCTCCACGTCAATGGTGTAACCAAGGGAACGACTTGCGTTGATGCGGCTTGGCTGCCGTTGGCGTCGCAGGAGCTGCCGGTATGTACATAAGAGTTTTATGTATAGACCGCCTGTAGGTGCTCCATTTCCTGATTTTCTGTCGGGGTTTACTCCCTTAGCCTTTCCCGAAGGGTATAGCCGCAAGGCAGGGGAGGATTTTTGAAGTCGGAGTTTCCTTCTTCTAGCCGTAGGGGTGCCAGCACCAGGATTCGAACAAATGAAATCCTACATAATGACCTATGCCCATCACTTGGAAAGGGACATTTGGCATATTTAAAAAAGTGTGCAGAATTTGATACCATACTGTGAAAATATTCAATCTGAAACAGTTGAATATCACATTTCATTGTCTCCATGTGTAAAAGTATTCTCTCTGTAACAGCTGAATATCATATTTCAATGTTTCCGGTGTGTAAAATTATTCTTTCTGTAACAGCTGAATATCATATCTCAATGTATCCGGTGTGTAAAAGTATTCTTTCTGTAACAGCTAAATATCATATTTCAATGTATTAAGTGTGTAAAGGTATTCTTTCTGTGACAGCTGAGTATCATATCTCAGAGTATCCAGTGTGTAAAGGTATTCTTTCTGTGACAGCTGAATATCATATCTCAGAGTATCCAGTGTGTAAAGGTATTCTTTCTGTGACAGCTGAATATCATAACTCAGAGTATCCAGTGTGTAAAGGTATTCTTTCTGTGACAGCTGAATATCATATCTCAGAGTATCCAGTGTGTAAAGGTATTCTTTCTGTGACAGCTGAATATCATATCTCAGAGTATCCAGTGTGTAAAGGTATTCTTTCTGTGACAGCTGAATATCATATCTCAGAGTATCCAGTGTGTAAAGGTATTCTTTCTGTGACAGCTGAATATCATATCTCAGAGTATCCAGTGTGTAAAGGTATTCTTTCTGTGACAGCTGAGTATCATATCTCAGAGTATCCAGTGTGTAAAGGTATTCTTTCTGTGACAGCTGAGTATCATAACTCAGAGTATCCAGTGTGTAAAGGTATTCTTTCTGTGACAACTGAATATCATAACTCAGAGTATCCAGTGTGTAAAGGTATTCTTTCTGTGACAGCTGAATATCATATCTCAGAGTATCCAGTGTGTAAAGGTATTCTTTCTGTGATAGCTGAATATCATATCTCAGAGTATCCAGTGTGTAAAGGTATTATTTCTGTGACAGCTGAATATCATATCTCAGAGTATCCAGTGTGTAAAGGTATTCTTTCTGTAACAGCTAATTATCATATTTCAATGTATCCAGTGTGTAAAGGTATTCTTTCTGTGACAGCTGAATATCATATCTCAGAGTATCCAGTGTGTAAAGGTATTCTTTCTGTGACAGCTGAGTATCATATCTCAGAGTATCCAGTGTGTAAAGGTATTATTTCTGTGACAGCTGAATATCATATCTCAGAGTATCCAGTGTGTAAAGGTATTCTTTCTGTAACAGCTAAATATCATATTTCAATGTATCCAGTGTGTAAAGGTATTATTTCTGTGACAGCTGAATATCATATCTCAGAGTGTCCAGTGTGTAAAGGTATTCTTTCTGTAACAGCTAAATATCATATCTCAGAGTATCCAGTGTGTAAAGGTATTATTTCTGTGACAGCTGAATATCATATCTCAGAGTGTCCAGTGTGTAAAGGTATTCTTTCTGTGACAGCTGAGTATCATATCTCAGAGTGTCCAGTGTGTAAAGGTATTCTTTCTGTGACAGCTGAGTATCATATCTCAGAGTATCCAGTGTGTAAAGGTATTCTTTCTGTGACAGCTGAGTATCATATCTCAGAGTATCCAGTGTGTAAAGGTATTCTTTCTGTGACAGCTGAGTATCATATCTCAGAGTATCCACAATGGCATATGAAAGATTAAAGGCTATAAACCACAAAGCAATAATCTATCTCAACCTGCCAAAATTTCACAAAGATTCAGAACTGTCTGGAGCAGCGTTTCTTCTTTATTATCTGATGGCCTTTCACTGGGTCAAGTTTTTTTAGTTATAGAAAGCGTTTGTATATGCTGACCTCCCACTTCTTGTTGAATTTGTATTTGTCCAGGGCTATCAGAAAATTTCCCCAATGAAGTTTGAATAATTTCAATTGCAAAGTCGCGCCTTTTAGATTTTTAAGTCAGCCTGACTTTTCGTACGTGGGGGCTTATCTGTAAAGAAATAATGTTGTTTTTTTGTGTGTTTTGTTTCAAGGTATCAGCTGCGGGGCAGTATTTTCGGTCGGAGAACAATGTTTTTACGATAAGGCAGTATTCTTAATTTATTGTTATTCTCATGCCATATTTCATAAACCACGGAAATGTGCTAGCAGGAGGGAATGTGCTGGCAGGAGGGAATGTGCTAGCAGGAGGGAATGTGCTAGCAGGAGGAAATGTGCGAGCTGGAGGAAATGTGCTGGCAGGAGGGAATGTGCTAGCAGGAGGGAATGTGCGAGCAGGAGGAAATGTGCTGGCAGGAGGGAATGTGCTAGCAGGAGGGAATGTGCTAGCAGGAGGGAATGTGCTAGCAGGAGGGAATGTGCTAGCAGGAGGGAATGTGCTAGCAGGAGGGAATGTGCTAGCAGGAGGGAATGTGCTAGCAGGAGGGAATGTGCTAGCAGGAGGGAATGTGTGAGCAGGAGGAAATGTGCTGGCAGGAGGGAATGTGCTAGCAGGAGGAAATGTGCTGGCCGGAGGGAATGTGCTAGCAGGAGGGCATGTGCTAGCAGGAGGAAAAAAACCCAAACACAAACATAACTCAGCCATAAGCGTACAACGTATTTACTTGAAAACGCATTGTCTGTGCTGGAAGAATGGACCACAAGTGCGTGTAATGATACCAAGTAAATATAGTTTATCTTGTCTATTCACTAACAGCTTTGAACTACCGAATTGATATTAGCATTTCTCATGAAAACTTTTACATCTCCCATCCCCTAATCCTTATCCACTGCAACTAAGAGCCGGTCAGTTTACATAATCCACGTGAACTACAACTAAAAATGGCAAGTTATCATAATCCACCTTTACTACAATTATGATGAACTGGCCAGTTATCAGGCTACAACTTAACTACAACTATGATGAACTGGCAAGTTATCATAATCAATGTTCATTTCAGCTCTGATAAACAGATCAGTCTTATTATCGACAGCACCACAACTGTGAACTGCTTAGTTAAAACATTTTACCCCTGTCCACTGGCGATTTATCACAATACAGATCACAAATTCTCAATGGTCTGATGAATGTCATGCATAATATGATAACCATGTCCTGACCACTTCTGCTAATATTTCAAGTAGTCCACATTTTGATGTTTCACTTATTGTCAAGTTTTTGTTATAAACCATCAATGCTGCATTAAGGGAATCATGATTGTCTTGTCACAAATTTTGATGATTTACCATTGTCTAATATATTCAGTTGATGAAAATGATTTCTTTTTCAATGAAAATAAAGCCATTTGGTAGTATTATTATTTGACACTGTTTAAAAATGCATTTTATTTTTGGCTTTGAAATGTGATTCTCATTGTAAAGTCATTTACAATTTTATGTACATTCAAACAAAAACAACACACAAAATTTCTTAAGCAACAGGAAAATAAATGTTACAAATTGTCTCTATAAGCTTCTGCTCTGTTGATTTTAACTGAAAACTTTTGATTGCTTGGTCTCATCGGGTGAAAGTTGCAAACCTCGGATTGCTGGGTGACATAGGGTGAATACTGAAAATATTTTATTACTCGGTGACATAGGGTGAATGGATTATAAATTATTAAAACAACAACATATCACTCAAATAAAATGAAAAATATCAAATTAATTTTTTTTCAATCATTGGTTTAGTACACAAGAGCACCTCTTCAAATTGTCAGACATTATTCTGAAAACTATAAAAGTGAACATAACAATTTTTTTAGCATTGAAAATACAATTTAAAGCCTTATAAAGTTTTTGAAAGTAACCTTTATTTGAATAGTCCCTTTGTTAAATAAATCTCAATTTTCAAAAAGTGGGATCATTGGGAGTGGTTGTTTCTTTAAATGATTTCATACCTACATATGGGGCTGGTGACAAGAGAGGGCTGATAGAATTAATTCATTGGTCCAGATAGCCTAAATCATGAGTGAAGGAGAGATGAACGGACATATACAAATAAGTCACATATTCATTTGAATCAATCACATATCCATTCAAATCTATGACATATTCATTCAAATCTATGACATATTCATTCAAAACTATGACATATTCATTCATAACAATCCCATATTCTATATTCAAATCAATTCCATATTCAAATCAATCCTATATTCATTCAAATCAATTCCATATTCATTCAAATCAATAACATATTCATTCAAATCAATTCCATATTCATTCAAATCAATAACATATTCATTCAAATCAATTCCATATTCATTCAAATCAATAACATATTCATTCAAATCAATTCCATATTCATTCAAATCAATTCCATATTCATTCAAATCAATGACATATTCATTCAAATCAATCACATATCCATTCATATCAATCACATATCCATTCAAATCAATCGTATATTCATTCAAATCAATCATATTTTAATTCAAATCAATAACTAGATATTCATTAAAAATCAATCACAGGCAGGATAAAGATGTCATTATGTTTTAAGCGGACACAATGAGACTAAACGTGTCAGTCAGCACAATTCATTGGCTTAATACTAACAGCTGTACAATAACAAATTCAAAAATGAAATTGCAACGAAACCAATAGATTACAGAAAGTGAAGTTCATTCAAATAAATTGATCATGGCAATGTTATCATAAGTTGTCAATTTCAGATCAGCATTGTCATAACCCGAGGCCAGGGGTGGAATAAAACTTAAATATCTGCTTCACGTTCAAGATTTTGTCCCAGGCCGCTGGGACACTACAGTCCACCATTGGTTATGACACCACATTCCACCACTGGCTGGGGCACTACCGACCACCACTGGTTAGGACACTACTGTCAACCACTGGCTAGGACACTACAGTCCACCGCTGGCTGGGACACTACAGTGCACCACTGGTTAGGACACTACAGTCCAGCGCTGGCTAGGACACTACAGTGCACCACTGGTTAGGACACTACAGTCCAGCGCTGGCTAGGACACTACAGTGCACCACATGTCTGGGACACTAAAAGCCACCACTGCCTCTGGCTTATGCTTAATGGCTTTAAACAAACAAGATATACCGTATATTACATAATCCACAAAGTTATCATTAGCCTTCTTACACATCGGCACTTAATCTGCATCGCTTACCATGTCTTACCAGGCTTGTTTTCGACTTATAGCCTACCCATAGCAAAACTCAAGAAGCACGAGACTTGGTTCTGTTGACAACTCTACACATAAAACTCTCTCTCTCTCTCTCTCTCTCTCTCTCTCTCTCTCTCTCTCTCTCTCTCTCATATATATGGAACTGTATCCGTCTGTACGCCCATGTAAATTTCTTAGTCCTTGAATGGGAAGACAGTGAAAGATAACTGGCGCCCTTACTGTACATCAGACAAATCAGACGAGTCCCTTTCTCCCGGATACAAACTAGCCCTTGACATCGTCTGCCTCCTAATCCCGACTTTCTTCAGCAGGTCGATGTACTGGTGCAGGATCTCGTCCTGCAGCAGGTTGAACCCCATGGAGACCACCGACAGTCCGAACAGCACGTACATCCCGCACACGATCTGCTTGACGGCGTCGTTGCCGTCCTCGTCGAACCCGAACACGAAGTCCCCCAGCCCGATGGTGCTGAGCGTGATGAAACAGAAGTAGCCGCCGATGATCCAGCTCCACTTGTTCTCCCACACGGCGAACAGTACGGCCCCCAGGGCGATGTACACGAAGAGGATCAGCACGGTGACCTTGACCGGGACCCTCACCATCTCAGGGACTTCAGGGATCGTGAAGGTCTTCTTGGAGCAGCAGCGGAGCAGGCGGCTGTAGAGCTTCTTGAACAAGCTGGCCATGGTGTCGCCGATGTTGGCCAGGTACAGGAACGTCAGGGGAATGCCGAACATGGCGTAGAGGACCGTGGCCACCCGCCCGAGGTTTGTTTGGGGAGTTATGTTACCGTAACCTGGAAAGACACATTTGTGGATGCATGCTACCGTAACCTGGAAAGACACATTTATGGATGTATGATACCGTAACCTGGAAAGACACATTTTTATTGTGTGTCGCCGTAACCAGGAAAGACACATTTATGGATGTATGTTACCGTAACCTGGAAAGACACATTTGTGGATGTATGTCACCGTAACCCGGAAAGGCAAAGTTCTGGAGAGTTTAACACTAGCACCAACATATTTAATGTGAAGCGATCTCTCATTCGATATCCATAATATTGATAGAGTGTTTAAAAAAAATTATGCATAGGAAACTTACATTAGAACTCACCCATATGGTTATAATGAAAAGACGCTAAATTATAGAATTCACCTATTTCTAGAATGAGAGTAAAATTATAAGTATAGAATTCAATTATGGTTGTCATGAGTGTGACATTATACGCAATTGGTTGTAATTACAATGATGCTAAGGTATAGAACTCACCTATTGTTGTCTTGAGTGTGACATTTCAAGCACAGAACTCACCTATTGTTGTCATGAGAGTGACATTTCAAACACAGAACTCACCTATTGTTGTCTTGAGTGTGACATTTCAAGCACAGAACTCACCTTTTGTTGTTATGAGTGTGACGTTTCAAGCACAGAACTCACCTATTGTTGTCATGAGAGTGACATTTCAAGCACAGAACTCACCTTTTGTTGTTATGAGTGTGACATTTCAAGCACAGAACTCACCTTTTGTTGTTATGAGTGTGACATTTCAAGCACAGAACTCACCTTTTGTTGTTATGAGAGTGACATTTCAAGCACAGAACTCACCTATTGTTGTTATGAGAGTGACATTTCAAACACAGAACTCACCTATTGTTGTCATGAGAGTGACATTTCAAGCACAGAACTCACCTTTTGTTGTTATGAGTGTGACGTTTCAAGCACAGAACTCACCTATTGTTGTCATGAGTGTGACATTTCAAGCACAGAACTCACCTTTTGTTGTTATGAGTGTGACGTTTCAAGCACAGAACTCACCCATTGTTGTCATGAGAGTGACATGTCAGGCATAGAACTCACCTATTGTTGTCATGAGAGTGACATTTCAAGCACAGAACTCACCTATTGTTGTCATGAGAGTGACATTTCAAGCACAGAACTCACCTATGGTTGTAATGAGTGTGACGCTATAAATGGCTGATGTGATGTGAGTCCATTTGTATTCTTGTCTAGGAGTTTCGACCACCAGTTTTGTGACCAGAGCTTGGAACTCGCCCAGTATTGTCTCAGCTTCCCTGGTCCACCGAGAGGCTTCCGTCACTGTGACATTACGCGGCATTTCTGTGTTAGCCAGGAGCTATAACAGATAGTGTTGGCTCTAACAGACACAGTGTTAGCTATGACATTTAGACAGTGTTAGTTTTAATAGAAACAGTGTTAGCTATAGCAGATACAGTTCTAGCTATAACAGAAACAGTGTTAGCTATAACAGATACAGTGTTAGCTAGATGCATTATTTTTTAGGAGCTTTAACTATTGAGGGGCCATAAGAGATACAGTGTTCGCTATAACAGAAACAGTGTTAGCTATAAAATAATAGATGCATTGTTTTGGAGGAGCTATAACTGATACAGTGTTAGTTATAATAGAAACTGTTCCAACTACAATTGATGCAGCGCAAGGGAGGAGCTATAACAGATTCCCTGTTCGCTATAATAGATACACTGTTAGCTACAATAGATACACTGTTCGCAATTAAAGTAGTAAATACAGTACAGTGTTGGCTGCTAACAAACGACAACTTAAGTGTGGCCAAACAACCACCGTACTCAAGCACACCCTCCACTAAAATTACTCAATAATCCTGACCACTAAGGTACAACCTAATCCGCCAACTGACCTTTAGAGCGAACACCCGTCTCTTGACGGTCATGTTCGGACCCGGTCTCGGCAACCTGCTGCCCTCGATCACGTAGAACAGGAACGAGCCGAAGCCCGTGTAGAGCGCGACCAGGATGAGCAGGAATAAGTTGGAGACAATTATGCTCACTATGTGGAGGCACTTCCGGCAGGGTCTCTTCTTCTTCTTCTTCCTTTCGGGCACCGCCTCGGGTGCCTCGGCCGCCTCGGGCACCTCGTATAACACAGTTTGTATAGACGCCACCGACTCCTCGCGGGGAACCATCGGCCTCGGTTTGCTGTGCCCGAGCGCCGGCAGACGAGTGACGTCGAACGTGCCGGAGTTCCTGGTCGTCGCGGACTGGTCGCCGTTCTTGCTCCGCTTCTTGCGGGATGTGCTCTGGTCGTCCTCATCGGACCACGCGCTGGTGGCGGACATGGCGCCATCATTCGAGGAGCCCCTGCTGTCAATTGTTGACGATCCTGTGTCTTTCTGATGAATCGATGAATATTTTTAACTAAAGTGTTTTGATGAAGCAAGTCCGGGTAATAATGTACAGTTCTTTTGTATCGGTTTGCAGTGAAACAATGCTTAGAAAAAGAAAGAAATGGCAGGTCTAAGGAAGCGGGCGGGTGGGAGAATGAAATAATGGGGCCTTAGGCCTAAATAAGCGGACAGGTCAGCGAATGAAATGTTAGGCCTAGGCCTAAATAAGCGGACCGGTCAAAGAAGGAAATGTAAGGCACAAGGCCCTAAGTAAGCAGGTCAGAGAATGAAATGTTAGGCCTAAATAAGCGGACTTGTCAGAGAATAAAATGTTAGTCCTAAATTTTCGGGAAGGTCAGAGAATAAAATGTTAGCACTAAAGAAGCGGGCAGGTCAGAGAGTAAACTTGTGGACCTAAATAAGCGGGCAGGTCAGGGAATAAAATGGTGGGCCTAAATAAGCGGGCAGGTCAGAGAAGGAAATGTTTACCAAAACTCTGTCAAATAATTACATCGTCACGGAGAAGAAGTGTAAGTCGCATTGGCTCAATCTCAGAAAACAGTACACAGTACACAGCACACAGTACACAATCGTCTTAAGACAGACAGTGACGTCACGGCCAATACAACACGCAGACACACAAAATGCGAAGTGGAAAAAAAGGGTGGGGGGGGGGCGGTCAACGCACGTGCAGATGGAACTAAATAAAGACTCTGAGGCCATGCGAATATCTATGACAGAGTGAGCAACATCACAAATTCTGACTAGGATCTTTACAAATAGCCGACTCAAGCTGATAGAAATGCAGTGCGGAGACATTAAAATACAATGACATTCTGTTTCCCTCCTTCTCAGTCTACCCCCCCCCCCCCCCCCCCCCCCCCCCCCAAAATAGCCGACTCAAACTGATAGAAATGCAGTGCGGAGACATTAAAATACAATGACATTCTGTTTCCCCCCTTCTCAGTCTCCCCCCCCCCCCCCCCCCCCCAATGCAATCTTAGTATATTTATTGGCTGCAATCAATGGGTAAGTGTTTCCTTTTTTTTTAAAGCGTACAATGACAAGTTTTGCGTACAATCAATGGGTTGTAAAACCCTGTCTTTTTAACGTACCCTGAATAATGATATTACAGGCACAGCCATGTTTTGGAATTCGCGCATGATGACAATCTTGTTGTTGTAAGGAGGCCTCGGAGTACTTGCCAAAAATTATCTCCACATCGTATGGACCAACTCTGATGCTGATATTGACCTAAAGGGCATTTTAAAAAAAAAATCGTCTCTTGTGTACTTGGTTTTAGTTAAATTGATTACTAGAGAGTGTTTATTTACTTTGTTAAAAAGATGTTTTAATGACATCCGTTCAAAGTTTTTTTTTTTTTCCTCTACAGGTTTGACCGGTGTTTCAAGCTTATAAAAATATTTGCACCAAATTCAAGTGCGTTTCAGAGTTTTAAGTTATTTATAATTCTTTTCAAATCCAATGTGTCCCAATGTGTGGCTAGGTCGAACCGAGACCATTGTGCGTAGGCAGACTAGTGGCTAGGTCAAGCCAAGACTTGCTTGTGTGTAGGCAGACTAGTGGCTAGGTCATGCCAAGACTTGCTTGTGTGTTGGCAAAATAGTTGCTAGGCCAAGCCAAGACTTTTTTTCAACATTTACTAGGTGCACACAGCGAATGCTGAAGGGGAAGTCTTGATGCACGGGTCAACACTGACTAGGTTTCAATGACAACAAATCGATCAATGACTTAAAGAAAACAAAATTCAAATATTCGTCTTAGTGCAAGTGTGATGGAAAGTCATAACAACACCCAACATCCATGGGCGCCCGCAGAAAACTTTCTAGGGGGGGGGGGCAAAAAAAAATCGATTAACTTTCCAGTGGGGGGCAAACAATTTTTAGTAATGTTTTAATATAGTTTTAATTTACTGTAGCGTATTTGTATGGTGAACGAACGGACAGGACATCAGCTTAGTTACTTTCTCTTTATTTTCTCTTTACTTTAATACATTTTTTGTCTATTTTTG